TGTTTTGCTGTTAATATGTTTTTCCATATGTTAGTGAGATTGAACATTTTGATGGTATTTCATCATCTGTGAATTGTTCAGTTACATTGTTTGCCTTTTTCTGTTGTGTGTGTTTCTTATCAATTTGTATAACCTACTCTTATATTAGTGATGACAGTGTCTGTCTTATCTGTTGCAATTCTTTGCCCCAGTTGGTTTTTCTTTTGACTTGAAAGGCCATTTCTCCCCCTTCTCTTGCCTTCCCTCTTCCCCTTGCTCTCCTCTCCTTCCTAACTTTTGCAGCCATATCTGTCCTTTTTCTCCTTCCTGGTTTTTAGGTTTCCTATCTTCCTATCTTATGTGAGTCCCCCAACCCCAGTTATGTTCCCAAGTTTTCTTATATTTTCTTAGTTTCCATTGTTGTCTTAGATTTTATTCCTTCTTGAAATTTTCTCTTTTGGAGTATACACTGTGAGGGGCTCATTTATTTTCTTTCTGGTGGGTAGCCAACTTTACAAATCCTCTGTGGTAAATAAACAATTTCTCCCCACTGAAGTGAAATGCTGCTTTTATCTTCAATTAATTTTCTATATAAACTTGAAATTATTTTAGGATAATCAGTGTTCTGTTAATCACTGTGTATATGCTTAGTGTTTAATCACAGTAGCTTTATGGCAAATCTTACTGTACGATAGAGCATGCCCCACTTCATAGCTTTTCCCTTTCCAAACTTTCATAGTAGTTTTTCACATACCAATTAGAATTATATATAGTCCTGTTTTCTTCTCCAGGCTCTATTTGCTTCTGACTGAAAATGACATTAGGTAGGGGAGCTTGGGTGGCTCAGTCAGTTGAGCATCAGACTCTTGGTTTTGGCTCAGGTCATGATCTCCGGGTCATGAGACTGAGCCCCATGGCAGGCTCCACGCTCAGCAGGGAGTCTGCTTAAGATTCTCTCTCCCTTCACCTCTGCCCCCCTCCTCACGCACTCTCTACATAAATAAAGTCTTAACAAAATGACATTAGGTATACATTTTATTTTAGCAAGGATTAACATTTCTGTATGCAGCATTCCTCCAGAAACAAAGTACATCTCTCTGTTTATTCAGGCCTTGTTTTATATCCTACGTCGTGTGTGTGTGTGTGTGTGTGTGTGTGTGTGTGTGTGTGTGTGTGTTTTAAGATTTTATTTATTAGAATGAGAGAGAGAGCATGAGAGCGGGTGGGTCAGAGGGAGAAGGAGACTCCCTGCCAAGCAGGGAGCCCTATGTGGGACTCGATCCGGAGACTCCAGGATCATGACCTGAGCCGAAGGCAGTCGCTTAACCAACTGAGCCACCCAGGCGCCCATATATCATGTGTTTTATCCTATACATTTTGTTGCCCTTTTGAATAACTGGTTATTGCTGGTTGTAAAATAGTTAGTGTATAAATATGACAAAATTTTATTATTAGGTCTACTCATTTGTAGTTAATTTCTTGGGCTTTTCTAAGTACATAGCTATAGTTGCCTCTGCGTTCTCTTTGTCTCCAGTGCATGTTTGTCGCCTTATTGTGTGTAGAATGAGTCATAGGGATGGGTGATTCTTAATGATGACAGGTATTTCACAGCTTGATATGTTTGCCAGTGTTTTTTTAATTGCCTTATTTTTCCCTTGTTGTAATTAACATGTAGTGACATCAAGTGTTCAGTTTAATGAATTTTAACAATTTGGTACCATCATCCTTAACAAGAAATTTAACATTTCTGTCATCCTAGAATGTTCCATCCAAGAATGTTCCAGATCTCCATCATCACTCCCTGCCCCCCAAAAAAGAAACAACTGCTTTCTCACTTCTGTTACAATAGATTTGTATCTCATTTAGCACAGCTTTAAGATTCATCTGTGTTGTTGGTAGTTTATTATTTTTTTCTCTCTTTTTTAAGCTATGTAACATTCCATTTTGTGAATAAACCACAGTTTATCCATTTTTTTGTTGATTTCAGTACAGTCGTTTTCAGTTTGGGGCTATTATGAATAAAGCTTCCATGAACATACTTGTACAAGTGTCTCTGTATACATATGCTTTTATTTCTTTGGGTTGAATATAAGGAGTATTTTAACTATATAAAAAGGTAAAACTGCAGAACAGTTCTTCCACATGAATATACTGTTTTACACTTTGCCAAGCAGTATATGAAAGTTCTTGTTGTTCCACATCCTTGTCAACATTCGGTGTTTTCAGTCTTGTGGCCCTTTTAATTGGTGTGAAATGGTAGCTCGTTTCGTTTTAATTTCATACTCTTGATGGCTAATGTTGTTGAGCCACACATTCGTGTATTTCCTGCTCATTGGCTTATCTTTTTTTTTTTGGCTTATCTTTTTGTGGGAGTTTTTCTGTTAAAGTCATTAACCCAGGGCACCTGGGTGGCTCAGTGGGTTAAGCGTCTGCCTTCCGCTCAGGTCATGAACCCGGGGTCCTGGGAATGGGCTCCCTGCTCGGTGGAGAGCCTGCTTCTCTCTCCCCCTCTGCCTGCCGCTCTGCCTACTTGTGCTCTCTCTCTATTTCTCTGTCAAATAAATAAAATCTTTAAAAATAAATAAATATATAAAGTCATTAACCCATCTTAAAAAAAGATGCTTTGTTCTTCTCATTTTGATTTGTAACGGTTCTTTGCCAGATAGTGTGCCGTGAATGCTGCCTCCATGCTCCATCTTGTCTTTTCATTATCTTGGTGGTACCTTTCAAAGAGTAAGAAATGTTTAAATTTTGATGGAGTTCGGTTTATCAAGTTTTTCTTCAAAGGTTCTTGTTTTTTATGACCAAAGAATTCTTTGTTTATTGTAAAATTTTGACAATTATCCTCTTTTTTTCTAGATGTTTTAGAGTTTTAAAAACACTCTTAGGTTTAGGTCTGTTACCTCTTTCCAGTTAACTTTTGCATATGTGGGATGAGTTTAGGTTTTTTTCTTTCCCCAGTAGGTATTCAGTTTTTTAACTGTTAAAAAGGCTTTCCTTTCTCCTACTGAATTGACTTGATGACTTAATACTGACTGTATATGCATGTGTCTATCTGGATATTTTCTGCTCATTCATTGATTGATTTGTGTGTCTTTAAGCTGGTTCCATACTGTTGTGAATACTGCAGCTTTGTAATAAGTCTTGAAATCAGGTAGTATAAGTCCTCCAACTTGTGTTCTTTTTCAAAATCGCTTTGGCTTTTCTAGGCTCTTTGCATTTCCATATAAATTTTAATAACACCTTGTCAGTTTCTGCAAAAATATCTGAGATTTTTATTGAGTTTGTGGGATTTGGGGTGCATGGCCATCTTAAGAATACCAAGCTTTCCAATCCATGATCATGTATATTTCTCCATTTATAACAGCCTTTGTACATATGTTCTGTTTCATTTTATGCAGAAGCACTTATTGTAGCAATGATGGCAGAACCTTTCTTTAAAAATAGTGTAAGATCTTTCTGCAGCTTTGGATTTATTTTGTTTGAGATATATATAAGTTTAATGGCCATCAAGTTAGTGTCAAAAGCCTGGGATGATGTCTAGAAAATGCTGCTGAGAGTTCTGTTTCCTGCAGCTCTCTGGATAGAGAATCCCCTCTTGAACTGAGGGGAAAGGATAATTGGGACTGAGAGAGAAAGAGGAATAATTATTCCCTCGCCTGATGGAAGTGTGCTCATGAGTAGGAGGAAACCAAGTGACATAAACCCAAATTTTCTTTGATTACCTACTGATACGATGTCTAAAATAGGAGTGGGAGGAGCCTATCAAAGTGCAGACATTTTGAAGCATTTGCCCATCTCTGCCAACTACTTACAGAAGGACAGTGGCCCAAGACTTTGCAGACTTGTGTATCTTCAGTAAAATAATGGCTTTGCTTTTTATGGAATAAAATGGAGGCCAGGGGAGGGAGTGCAAGATTCAAACTCTTTTGTATCTGAACTTAGGACAGAAGTGAGAGAGGGGCTCTGGAGCCACAATGGCTCCTTCTAACAATTCCCTGTAGTTCCTGCGTACTCTTTATTGATATTTCAGATATCACAGTGAATTCCAGGTAAGCATCTGGGAATGGTTATCACATGGAGAGGTATCCTGCTGTGCAGTTAGCCTTATAAAGCTCACAGTGATTGTGAAGAACTCTTAAATTTTTTTATCTGGGGATTTTTTTGGTCTGTCTCTAATATTTATAATTTAAGGAACCTATTTTTTTTTAACTGTTAACCTAGTAGCCAAGACTTAAATAAATCTCTATCTTGAAATCCAAACATTAACTTTTTAATAATATACTTTCTTCTGAACTCTGTGCTCTTAAAATCTAGAGATCTGTGTTGTCTCGTTTTGAGAACTTAATTTATAATGTCGCCCTACCTATTGTTATGAATTGTAATTTAATGAAATTGCTTTGTTTTTCCCTGAGAATCTCTGTAAGAGGATAAAGAGTGTCCTGAAGAAAATACTAATTTCAACTCTTAAAACTCTTCTTGTGGGGCGCCTGGGTGGCTCAGTCGTTAAGCGTCTGCCTTTGGCTCAGGTCATGATTCCCAGGGTCCTGGGATTGAGCCCTGCATTGGGCTCCCTGCTCGGCAGGAAGCCTGCTTCTCCCTCTTCCACTCCCCCTGCTTGTGTTCCCTCTCTCACTGTGTCTCTCTGTCAAATAAATAAAATCTTAAAAAAAAAAAAACAAAAAAAGCCACAACTCTTCTTGTGTGAGAAATTTCCTGGCATTTTTTTAAAACTTAGTTTAAAGGAAAATTTTTGCCTCTTTGGTAACTAATCAATTTTAATATGGTCGTGGACCTGTTTAAGAACCACAAATTGACCAAAGTTGGGTGTGTGTTTGCATGGCTACATATATACATCTCTGTATATGGCAGTGTTTGCCCCAGTCCTGAGGCACTAAGCCTTCTATTTTACCAGAACGAAGAGAGAATACTCAGAGAATTTTATATACTCAAAAATAGTCATGTAATGAGAACTTAAAGTCACTTTTTCTCCTTATTTTCTCTTCCACTATTTGTTTTAGGGTAACCAGGAGCCAACAACAACTCCTGACGCAATGGTTCAGCCTTTTACTACTATCCCGTTTCCACCACCTCCACAGAATGGAATTCCCACAGAATATGGAGTGCCACACACTCAGGACTATGCCGGCCAGACCAGTGAGCATAACCTGACACTCTACGGAAGTACGCAATCCCACGGGGAGCAGAGTAGCAACTCACCCAGCACACAAAACGGATCTCTCACGGTATGTGAACTATGAGGTGGGAAATGGAAGAGTGCCTGCCATCATATTGAAATCTTCACCAGAATCATCAGCCAGAAAACCCTTTGAATTAATTTAGCATCTACATGACACTACATAGCATGTGTGTAATTTCATTTCTACCCCCTGCGTTGAAATTAGAAGGTAAGTATTTAGAATCTGAGATCACAGTCACTGCCCAGGAGCTTAGGGTCTAAAAACAGAGCAGACAACACCAGGTGAGGGTACACTTAGGTCAGTTTCACCAGGAAGCTTCATTTCGCCACACCTTGTGGTCCCTCCTGTGTTGTCACTGTATACAACCTCTCAGCAGTGTTCTGCACATTGCTTCCTCCCTCCTCCTGGACATAGTCTCTTGCTCTTGGCACACCCCCTGTTTCCCTCCTGTGCACTGGAAGTTCTCTCTTAGTCCCCTTTGCTGGTTCCTATCTCTCTGTTCAGTTTTTATTTTTTTAATTAAAAAAAATTTTTTTTAGGATTTTATTTATTTATTTGACAGAGAGAGACACAGTGAGAGAGGGAACACAAGCAGGGGGAGTGGGGGAGGGAGAAGCAGGCTTCCTGCTGAGCAGGGAGCCCGATGCAGTGCTTGATCCCAGGACCCTGGGATCATGACCTGAGCCAAAGGCAGACGCTTAACCGACTAAGCCCCCCAGGTACCCCTAAATTTTTTAAATTTTTATGTATTTATTTTTAAAAGATTTATTTATTTGGGAGAGAGAGTTTGCAGGGGAGCAGTAAGGGGGGAAACAAACTCCCCGCTGAGCAGGGAGCCTCATGTGGAGCTCAGTCCCAGGACCCTGGAATCATGGCCCCAGCCAAAGGCAGACTGAGCCACTCATGGCCACCTCTGTTCAGTTTTTAAATGTTGCAGCATTCCAGGCCTGTGTCCTAGGACCACCCTCTTCCTCTTATTTTATGTCCTCTCTCTCTATAATTATACTACTAAATTCACCTTGCTGCTCCAGCAAAACCTAGGAGCCTTCTCTCTTTCCTTCGTCTCCACATCCAGTACATTTGCAAGTCCAGTAACTATAACTCGAAGCATTCTCTTCAGCTCTTCTCTTTATCTTAATACTCTAACTGGATAGTGTACATGATTAACAGCTCCGCTCTTCTGCCAGATTTCTTGGGTTTGAGTTGGGCCCTGCTTAGCAGCATGACTTTATTAACCTCTTTCTGTGTTGGCGTGCTCAGTGAGGACAAATACATACCTGTACCTAGAAAAGGAAGACAGCAGTACCTGCCTCTGCTGGCCGCTAGGGGATTTAAAAGAGTTGAAGTCATGTATGGTATCATCACTGTCATCCCCATGCTCGTCCAGGCCTCATGGCTTATTTCCTGTGTTATTGCTGCCTGCCTGACTATCCCTTCTCCACACGGCAGCCAACATAGTGCTCTGTTTTCTCACGCAAATGTTACTTTCCTGCTTAACTCTAACAGTTCCCTCACATACTTACAATAAAATCCAAACTCTGTACTTGGTTTACTAATCCCGGTCCCTAGCCGACCTCTGTGGCTTTGCCTCTTGCTACTAACTTGCTAAAGTAAAAGAAATGTCAAAAATCATCCAGTAGGTATATATCACATATATATCAATACACAGGAAGTCATATTGTCTGTGGGATTGCTGGTTTATCTCCAAAGATAAACATGTTCTGTATTCTGGATAGAAAGATCTGTGTCTGGTTTTTAGATTTCTTTTTGCCCTTCCTGTTTCAGATTATCAGGAGAACCTTATTCAGCCTTTAAACCACTTGATATGATTTACTTCCCAATAAAGAGCCTTACAGTGGAAGCTTTTGTTGCATAAGGATGGATTTAACCTTCAAATACTTTCCATTTTCTTTTATTAGTTATTAGACCACAAAGAAATCCATTCTTTCCTTGAAAACATGTTATCTTTTCAGGGTTGATCAGTTAAATATAAGCACATAATTTTATACTTCATAAGTAATGGGCTACAGTAGACAGTTTATTAGGAAGATGTAAGCCCATGATGGGTAACAGGTGAGGATTCTGTAGCATTTGTTCTGGAATCATGAATATATTGGCTGCTATCTTGGCTGCATTTCCAAATCAGTTTCAAATGATTATGAATTCACAGTCTTACCAGAACTACTGTGCAAAGCAGGAATAAAATACAAATCTGAGGCTTTATCAAGTATTTTAATTACTACGTCTATTTCTTTACTAGTTATCTGTCCTTTTTCTATTTTTATTTCTATGTTCTGTTTCACATCAAATCAATCTTGGTAATTTGTGACTTTCTAGGAATTTTTCTTTTTCATCTAAATTGTCTGTTTTGTTCGTGTAAAGTTAATTATAATAATAATCCCATATAATCCTTTTTTAAATTTCTATAGCATCTGTAGTGATATCCCCTCTTTGATTCTTGATTTTGGTAATTGTGCCTTCTTTTTTTGTTGGTCGGTCTAGCTAAGGTTTATTAATTTTGCAGATCTTTCCAGAAAACCAGCTTTTGATTTCATTGATTTTTTTTAAAAATCTGTTGTTTTTCTGTTTTATATTTCATTGATTTCCATTCTGACCTTTATTATTTCCTTCCTTCTGCTAGCTTTGAGTTTGATTTGGTCTTAGGTTTTTGTTTTTGTTTTTTTTAAGTCTCTTGAGTTGCAGGGGAGGAGGAAGGGGGGAAGCAGACTCCCCCTGAACAGGGAGCCCCATGTGGGGCTCAATCCCAGGAGCCTGGGATTATGACCCCAGATCATTGATTTTAGATTTTTTTCCCTGTCTGATAGGTGTTTAAAGCTATACATTTCCCCTTTAAGTTTCCCATACAATGTGATACATTGTGTTTTTGTTTTCATTCAAGATATTTTTAAATTTCTCTTTATGATTTCTTCTGTGATCCTGGGTTACATAGACATGTGTTTCTTAATTTCCAAATGTTTGAGGATTTCCCAACTTTCTTTTCTTGATTTATAATTTAATACCATTGTGGAGAGAGAACATACTTTGTATGATTCAATTTTTTAAAATTGATTGAGACTTGTTTTAAGGCTTAGTAGATGGTCTTTCCTACAGACTATTCCTAACCAGTTGGCCTTTTCTCAATATGAAATGTCCCTCCCTCTTTTTCTATCATTATTTCTTAAGTCTGTTTTGTCTAATATTAATATAATCACTTCAGGTCTCTTATCATTACTATTTGTATGACATCTTTTCCCTTCATTTTTGTCTCAAACTCTGAATCTAAGGTGTGTCTCTGGTAAAAAAACAAAAACCAAAACCATACAACTGAATCTTACTTTAGCCAATCTGAAAATGACTGCCTTTTTATCAGAGTATTTAGTCTATTTACATTTAAAGTAATTGTTAATATGGGTGGATTTATGGCTGCCATTTAACTACTTGTTTTATGTCTCCTATCTTTTATTGTTCCTCTATTCCTTCTTTACTGATTTCTGTTAAATTCTTAATTGTACCTTTTAAATCCCTTTGTGATTTTTTTAATTAGTTATTTGTGTTGTTATTTTTATATTTTCTTAGTTCTTGATCAAGGATTACATCTTCGACTTAGCATAATTTACTGATGTGTGTACATGCTTGCTTACTTGTGGGTGCACACACACACGTGTGTGTGTGTCTTATTCTGGTAAAATATTGCAGCTTTGGTCTCATATAGCTTCATTCCTCACCATCCTTTGTACTATTATTGTCATCTATATTATACATATAAGATCCAGTTGTATGTTTTTTTTACCAGAGACACACCGTAGATTCAAAGAGTTTGAGACAAAATGAAGGAAAAAGATGTCATACGAACAGTAATCATAAGAGACCTGAAGTGATTATACTAATATCAGACAAAATAGATAAAACAAGAAGATGGATGGAGACAAGAAATGCAACAATACAGTATTGTAATTATTACTTTAAAAGATCTTATATTTTCAAAGAAACTTACCATTTTCGGTAATCTTCGTATCTTCCTGTGGATTTGAGTTGTATTCTGATATCATTTCCTTTCAGCCTGTAGGATGTCTTTCAGTATTTTCTGTAGACTAGGTCTGTTTGAAACAAATTTTCTGTTTTTGGGTATCTAGGAACTATGTCTTTATTTTTTTCTTCATTTTTGAAGGATAGTTTTGCTCACTGTACAATTCTTAGTTGACCGTTTTTCACTACTCCCCAGCACTTTAAACCTGTCATCCCACTGCCCTCTGGCCTCTGACAAGAACGAGCTGATTCTCAGGAGTCAGCTATTAATCCTGCTGTTCCCCTTTCTGTGATGAGTTGTTTTTCTCTTGCTGCTTTCAAGATTTTTATTTTATCTTTGGCTTTGAGCAGTTTGACTCTGATGTGTTTAGGGTGGATCTCTTTGTTTTTATCATACTTGGAATCTATTGAGATTTTTGGATCTGTAGATTACTATTTTTATCAAATTTGGGAACTCTTTGAATATTTCTTCAACTATTTGTTCTTTCTCTTTCTCCTCTCTTCCTGGGACTTTCACCACAAATATGTTGGGAACCTGATGTCAGTCACCCACAGGTTCAAGTTCTAGTTTTTTGTTTGTTTTTGAGTTGAATCGAAACAGAATCTAACGTTCTGTTCATTTTTCTTTGATGTTTTTTCTTTCTGTTCACTAGATTGGAGAATTTCTGTTAATGTCTCTTTCAGTCCACTCACTCTTGTTCTGCCACATTGCACCAGCTTGTGACCCCATCTAGTGAATTTTTTATTTCAGTTACTGTACTTTCCAACTCCAGAATTCTCATTTGTGATTTCTGCTTCTCTGTTGAGATTCCTTGTCATCATATTTCCTTCAATTCTCTGAATACGTATGTAACTGCCACTTTGAAGTCACCTGCTGAGTCCAACATCCAGGCCCACTCAAGGGTCCTTTTCTAGTTTCTGCTTGTTTTCTTGAATCCGGGCCATACTCTCCTGTTTCTATACAGGTCTTGTAATTTTTTATTAAACTGGACATTTTAGTAATATATTGCAGCAGCTCT